ATCAAGTGCCTCACTAACATTGACCTCAAAGTGATCCTGAACATCACTGAAGATGCCAGCATCATTCTCACCTGAAGGAAACATGATGGCCAAGCCCTTGGTGCCAAATCAAACTGCTCTGCTTAAACGATGCAGGTCGGTGTTAGAATTCTCAGACGTGTTGTTGCTAAGGCAATATTCATCTGCTCGATGTCCATGCCTCTGCCGAATAGGTCTGTAACTGCAAGAATTCATTGTTGAAAATCTTTAAACTGTTGAAACTGATAAAGCCTCTTCTCCTGGGGCATCTCATAGTAGATGGCAATGGCTGGGAAGTTCTGCTCCACAAGGAGCTGTGCCAGTGCAATGCAATGCTGCACAGACTTCACAGAGTTCTAAGATTCTAACCAGCTAGTCTGGTTCTAGATCATACTCTACCACTATACACTACTATTAAGCAGAGGTCTTCCTCTACTTAACTCAAATATCGCCTTTTTTCTAGTTCTTTGACAAATATGGTTAGTGAATAGGATTCTTTCTTTGTGGGAGTGGGGCTCTCAGCTTGAAATTAAGTAGGACCAAATATACTCAAGTATATCTGAAGAGATGTGAAGACCTCTATTTCCGAAAGATATACTTCTAAGTAGGGCCAAGGAAACTCTTAGGTGAGAACCCACCCTGAGAGCAGAGGGTGGGATGCACCAGTTTTAAAGACAAAAGCTCAATGCTTATGAGGACAAATGTAGTGATTATCACTCAGATTGTTCTCTGGCCTAGTCCCCCAGTCTCATGCCTAAATCTTAAAGGATTTCGTAAGTAAAAATGGAAAGAGTTGTTTTATTAAAAGCTTTGAGGACATGGTTCCATAGGGTAGTGGTTAGCATGTCTGCTTCACACACAGAAGGTCCTGGGTTCGTGCACCAGTGGAGCCACGGTCCATGGTCTATGGCCATGCCACCCTAAACAAGCCCGATGTCTGATCTCGTAAAGCTAAGCAGGGTTGGGCCTGGTTAATACTTGGATAGGAGACCATAAATAATAATGATTAAAAATAAATAAATAAAAAACAAAAGCTTTGAGAAGCATTGGGACCTAGATATAGTAGGACAAAAAGATGGTGTAAAGGAATTCTCTCCTTCAGAAAAGTGCTCCAGAAAATCCAGAAAATTGACATGGGCTGGCAACTCCTACCACAGGACAGTGACAGGAGACAGCATCTTCAGTGCAAACATTGGAGTCTTCTGAACCAGGCATTGGACATGTTAGGAGTCACACAGAGATGATTACATTAGGGCCACGCACAGGATGAGGGAAATGAACATGACTCATGGTGGTGAAGAGGTCAGCAAGTACGTAGGAGATGCTTTCAAGCCTCCTCCTCAAATAATTGGGAAGGACTTTGAAGGAAGCCTCATAATTCAACCGAATGGGCAGAGTCTGTCAGACTCAGTGTGTGTCAGCTATTGTAACCTAGTTTGACTTACCAAGGTGATATGGCCTGAAAGATAGGAATTATAATCCCATACATTTTTAAGACTTTTGTTATTGCTTAACTATTAAACAAATAACAAGTATTAAGGGAACACTCTACAAGATTTTTTGTTTTATTTTGAAATACTTATAGATTCATAGAAAGCTTAAAAAGTAGTGCAAAGAGGTCCTGTGTACTCTTCATCGTTTCCCCCATTAAGATGGTAATATCTTAATAATTATAAAACAGGAACTTGACATTGGTACAGTCTACAAATCTTATTCAGATTTTGCCAGTTTTACATGCATTTGTGTGTATCTAAAGCTCTATGCAATTTTATCATGTGTAGAACCCCATAATCAAATACAGAACTGTTCCATTACTACAAACATCCCCCTTGCTACTCTGTTAAAGTCACACCAATCCCCTTCTCTCTCCATACCCTCCCACCCGATTCCTAACCCCCGGAAACCACTTATCTGTTGTCCCTCTCTATAATTTTGTCATTTTGAGAATGTTATATAAATGGAATCATGCAGTCTGTAACCTTTTGAGTTTAGCTTTTTTCACCCAGTATAATTTCAGATGTTTCTATTTTAGAGAATACAGGTTAATGATTATGATTTTATATTTGTCACGGGATAAAATGATATCAAAATGTCCACCTCCCAGATTGACCTAATGACTGGTCTTATTTCTGTTCTATATTGGCATTTTTGTATTACTTTTATATCTTAACAAGTCTTACCTGTAAACAAGAAAAGAATAATGTTGGTTAAATATTAACTACCACTGCATACTGGAATGCCTTAAGGCAAATATTCAAAGATTATTATTTTGTCCAAACATAGTAATAGTTGGTGGAGGGTATCTCTTATCAGATGAAGGTGTTTCAGGGGAATTTCTTAGACAAATTAGATCAAAAATACAAGGAAGGTAAAATGTTAGAAAATTTATAAATTATTATAACTGCCTTACATTTCAAAAGTACAGAGCAATTAGCAAATAGAGAATGTATTTTCCTCTTCATCGTCAAGTAGTAGTAGTATACATACAGAACATAAAACTCTTATGCCAACCCAGTTTACATGGGTGATGTCTGATCATTCCAAATACTTAGAAACTTTTGCTGAGATTATAGAAGGCCATGGTTTTCCCATGCCATATGGACTTTGGTTAAGTTAGGATTCTAAAAGTAGTCCTAGAAGACCTAAGTTCGATCCTATTTACTGTTTTTGAATCAGAGGGACTTGCAAACCTATGGAGCTCAATCTATGAGAAGTCTTTTGAATTTATGACCAAGATGTAGGGGAAAGGAAAAGGTTTCGCTTTTTCTGATGTGAGCTGTTCTCTTACATCTAGGCTTCTGTTAAAACTGGACATTAAGTGGTTAGGAAATGTCACACATTTTGTTCACTTTAGTCAGGTACACTGTCTTTACACTGGAGACTTTTCAGAGTTATTGTTAGTGATATTGACAGAATTTTAGATAGACTTCACACATTGAAATTTATTAAGCTATCTTAAGGTATGGGGCTAAGACAACTTTGTTTTTTAAATAAAGTGTAAATTGTACAGCTTTTTGGGAATCATTTTGGCAATATTTGAAAAATATTGGAAATGCTTATATTCTTCGTTCTGCAATTCTACTTCTAGAAATCTATTTCTGATATAATCGTGTGCAAAAATGTTCGTATATACATAATGTTCTTTGCAATACTGTCAGTTATTTTAAATAATTAGAAGCAATGCAAATTTCCAATTTGTAAAACATTAATTTATGGTACATGAAATTATGAAATACCATTCAGTATTAAAAAGAATTAAGTAGATGGAAAGTACTGATGTGGAAAAAATCTCCAAAATTTTTAAATGAAAAAAAGCAAATAAAAAATAGTGAAAGTTTAGAAGGATGCACACAGAATTGTTACAATGGCTATCATGGGTAGGGTTTGTCTGTGAAGAAAAATAATTATAACTTTTTAATATTTAATATTGTTGGAATTTTCTAAAATGAGCATGTATGATTTTATTACCTGCGTAGCTAAAAGATTAAGAAAATTTCATCAATAGAATATATCCGCCAAACAACAGCAAGACTGTATCAGCTACTTATCTTACTGATATTTTTAATATCCGTCTGGCAATGCAGGGTGGCAATGTTTACAACTGCAACTTAACGTTTGGCTTTAACATACAAAATATATTTGACCTTTTAGAAAGAGAGATTGAGGTTAGATACAATACTTTAAAAATGGCCTCCGCAAATGAGATACTTGAGCTATTGGAAAATTGTTTTTGGCCAATAAATAAATAATAAATTGAACGAACATGGAATCCATTCAATAGTGAAGGCTGGAACCTGATTTCCTTGGGTATCCCTGCAGTGCTTGGGCATATAGCAAACACTCAATAAATATTGACTGAATGATGGATGAATAGACAATTTAAATATTTTTAGCAGCACCCACTTATTTAAAAGCAGCATATTAGCAAGGATAGATATCTTGTTACTTGAGCGGCTTTTCAAACGAGGCAGAGCAGCCCTTTCTACTCGGGAGATTAAGAATTTGGTCGAGGATAGCGTTTAGTGACTCACAGATTGGTGATCTGTGAATTGAAAGATCATTCAATTTCAGAACAAGACAGAATACAAAGGGGGAAAAAAAGCGAGTTGCCACTATTATAGACATACAATTTTGCGCAAACTAGAGGTAAGGGCTCCCGTGGCTGTGAAACTGGGCAAATTACCATATCTGTGTCTAAATTTTTATCTGAAAAACGGTTATCACTCCCTCATAGGTTTTTTTTTTTTTTTTTTTACATAGAAGAAAGTGAAAACTTTTACAAAATGCTGGCTTTATGTGGCCATCCCATACTGTGTAATGAATGTTTCATATAAAGTCAATCCCAGACTGTCGGGTCGAAAAGCCCTCGAAGACTAAAATACAAATGTTCTCAAGTTCGGGGTAGTCTCTTTCATCGTAATCCCAACCAAACCTATGGAGCGGTGCGGTTCCCAGAGTCGACTTCCAGCACCGCGAGTTCTCCCCCGCCGGGGTCTCGAGCATCGGCTTCCTCGAACTGCAGGGCCCGGGACTCCGGGGACTACAGCCCGCGCCTGGCCTCCGTGCTTGGGGCCGAGCCACCGATAGCCTCGCCCACCCGAGGCAATTCTGCCGTGGTTCCGCGGTCCTCGCGGGACACTCCTACCTACTCTCCGGAGTCAGATCCCAACGTTTTTCCCGCCGGTAGAGGAAAGTGTGCAAGCCAGGCAGCCCTGGGTGCAGAAGCCCGAAGGCCAGCGGAGCCCGCGGGAGGGCGGGAGCGGCAGCGAAACGGCAGTGAAACGGCAAGCACAGACGCGCGTTCCCGTGAACGCGGGAGGGGGACGCGCGCGGAGCGCGCGCGGGGACGAGGGGCCAGGAGGCGGGGTCTTAGGGAGAGCGCCGGAAGAGGGCGCCCTGGAGCCGAGCCGGAGGCCGGCTGTGGGCGGGGCCTAGGGAGGGCGTCGACGCCGAGGGCGGAGTGAGGCGAGGCGGGGACGCGCTTGCGGAGTGGGGAAGGCGGGGGCGCGGTGGTGGCGGGAGCGTCCCTGGTCTCCGCCCCTGTTTCCCACTCTCCTTCTACCTCCGACCGTCCGGGGCTCCGGAGCGGCACCGCTTGCCCGTCCCCCGGAGCCGCCCTGCCGCCGCCGCCTCCTCCCTCCGCTCGCAGTGAGCCCGTCAGTCCCCGCACGGTGTGCGCTCCTCCGTCTGGGCCATGGATGGGTAAGTGTTGGCTGCGCGGCGGCCGCGCCGGGCTGCGCTTTGCCCCGCTTCCTTTGGGCTCTCGTCCGGACGTGCGGAGGCCGGGGAGCTCGAGAGCCGGGCGCGGCGCTGGCGGCCGGAGGAGCGGCCCCGGCCGAGCCCGACGGCGGGGCTTCCGGGTGCCTCCTAGGGGAGCCCGAATCGCCGAGGGGCGGTCCCCCACGAGGCGCCCCCATAATATCCGTTCCCTCACACCCTCACACCGGGAAGTGGAGGAAAGCCCGGTGCAGCCGCTGGGGGCTGGGGGCCGCCCTCGGCGCCCGGAGTCTGGGGAGCCTGGCCCGGCCTCCCGACACTTCCTCTCAGAAAATGGTGCGCGGCGCTGGGGGAGGCGGAGGCGGCGCTCGGGGCGGGCGTCCTTCAGCTTGGGGAGTTGCTGTTTACCGGGGTGAGGTGGGGCGAGCACTGGATTTTCCCCTGGCGGGGAGGCGAGTAGCCGCCGAGTGGCGGATGGCGAGTGCACGCGTCGGTACACGTCTGGGCGGCGACCTGGTGCCGAAGCCAGGGCCCCACGCGGGGGTCTCGGCATGCCGGGGAACCGGCCGAGGTCTCCGGACTTGTGCTCCGAGCTGTGTTAACGATTTCGGTATACCAGGCGTCTGGTCTTAGTGATCCTGGACGTCCTCCCCCACCCCAACCCCCACCCTCAAGAAACTTCGTGAATTTCCTGCCATGTATGTAAAATATCGTGTAAGTGCAATTTTCGGAGAGCCTTCAGGCGCTCTAAAAGTTAATGAGGCCCGTGATCAAAATAAAAAGATTTAGAATTACCTATATAAATATTTCTCTCGGGGACCTAGGGATATGGGTTAGGACCTAACAGATATTTTAGTGATTAAGGAAACAACTAGATTAGGATCTAAGTGAATTAATTGAAGGTCGTAGCATATGTACATCAAGAGTTTTTTAAAAAATCCCCAGCTCTCTTACAACTTGCAGGTCCACTTTATTCCCATTATGCATTTGAGGTTCTGTTTGGCCTTTTACCTGCTTTTGATGACAAGATTTTTGTAAACCTCTTGGTGGTAGAATACGTAGAACTTGCTTGAACAGGAAAAACCGTGTACTTGTTGCCATATAGTTGATGATTGTTGTCATGCTGTGTAAAGACGATGGAACCTTCCAACAATTTTTCTCTTCATTAGACTTTATTCTAGTTTCATTATTAAGTGTATTTCATATAGTGGATTAACTCATTTGAATGCGGATTGCACACTGCTTACAGACATTAGATTAGACAAAGTTCAGTTTTATATTTCATTTATGGTCGTGATATTTTTTAAAGTATTTTTTATTTAATCGAAACTATTGTTTAATTGAAGCTTCTCTGAGAACATTGTTGAAAACTCATTTCACACCACCTTATTCAGTTACACTTTATATTTGTGCAAAATTTTGCTATTTTTAATTCGTGTAATTACGCCACTATTTCAGTTAGGAAGGCTGTGAAATTAGTATTTCATTATGTGTAGTGAATTGTGGTGAGACAGTTTGACTTGAGATATGGAAGCAGGTTAGCTTTTGTATTGGAAATTTTATGGTGATAATAAAGAACTCCTGGGTTATGCATCTTGGCTGTTAAACTCTCGCACAGCGTGAAGTGCAAACTTACTCTTTTGGACAATGTTGCAAAAAGATAACTCTTCACTCTAAAGTTACTAATGAGTTTAATGATTTAAATATGTGAGGCAATAAGATCCTGGAAAGGTAAGTTCATTTGGGAGTTCAAGACTGTGTAATATACTATGGTATTGCAAAAGATTTACACAGATTTACTCTTTGCAACAGGACCAATACCATAGTATATTACACAGTCTTATTTTTTATGCACAAACATCAGTTATTTATCATGTTTAAATTTCAGACAAATGAAATTCAAAAGTCTAGAAGGAAATATAACAAATGTACATGGTTATTGTTTAAAACAGTTAAATTTGCATCATTAAACAGTGTGGAGTCATAAATTTATTTACTTTTATTAAGTAATGATGACATAGGTTATTAACAATATATAGAATTTAGTTATAGCTTTCTTTTAGGAGTTATGGGGACTGACTTAATTGAAGACAGTTTCTTTGGGGTTAGAAGAGATGGGTTTTGTTTAGCAGAACTTTATATAGGGGTTTTTACACCTTGGTGTTAAGGAATGTGGTTTTGAACATAGTGAATTTTGGCTTTCAGGAGGCTAATTAAATTACTACATTTTACCACAGCCTGAAAAAGGTCTTTTTTAAAATTATTTTGGATAGTTGAAAAACAACAAACCACCAGTCATCATATTTTTCTAGTTCCTCCTCAAATCCCAACTGTCGTGTGTGTATTTGTTCATTTCCTCCTGAGATAATTTATACTTAAACAGTTTTGATGTGGTAGAATTTTTTTAAAAAACAAATCTTTGAAATTTTTGATGTTAGAAATTTGATGTGTTCTGAGAGACTATCTTAGCTATATTTTGGTGAGCTGTTTTGGGTAGTAGATGCAAATTTGCAAGATACCTTCTATTTCTATAAAATCCACTCGCTAGTCTTGTTTCATTTAAACTTGTTAAAAGTGATGTAAGAGAATGAACTTTGGTGATTTTAAGTTTTGGTTTGGATTTGTTGAAAAGAGGTAAATGGATAAACATATACTTACTAATTTTATTGAATCACAACTATGTTTTTCTGAATAATAAAATAAAATGTATTAGTTGTTTCTTACACACTGCTATTAAAACTTTGCTTTATACTTTGCTGTTGCTAGGCTGTCCCCATCACTTTTCTTTGTATTAACCTTTCACAATTCATCACATTCTTATTTTTATTATTTGTTATAATGCTTTTTCTTTTTTTTCTTTAATCTTATTATCTGTCTTTTAAAAACTTGATCTCTAACTTTGTTTTCCATTTTCTCTTTTTACTTTTTCCATACAGTGTTGTTACAGATCTTATAGCAGTCGGTTTAAAGGTAGGAATCTTTTACTATCCTTTCATTAGCACTTTTAAATCTTAGTTTTGGCATTATTTTTCCAGTGGGAAATCATCTCACCTGTTCATAAAATTATCTGTTTTACTGTATGATGATAATCTTTTGTTTTTCTTTAATTCCAAAATAAGTGCTTCTGTAGCTAATTTTGGATTTTACATATTTATAAAGACAGGCTACAGTATTATTTTGTATGTCTAAAAAGTTTAGCCCGAAGTTTCACTTGAACTATCGTGGTACGTGTTTGTTTATTTTATTTTGTTTGAGCAGCTAAATGTAACCTAGGTTTTGATTTATTTTCCTATCATGTCCTTTCTTATATCTTCTTTAGGTGTGCTTATGAGTAATTAAATTATAATAGCAGCTGAAATTTCTTCCATAACTACTATGTGCCAGCTGCTTTACATGTGTTTTCACTAATTATTATAAGTTTTTCAAGGTAGGTATTAATAGTCCCAATTTAGGGATGAAAAACTTAGGTTCAGAAATTTGTGTTTAAGGTTTGGTGCACCAGAATTCAAACCCATATTTTCCTGATTCCAAAGCCTGATCTTCCCCACTCCTACCCCCGTTATACCTGGCTGCCAGTAATGAGGGTTCTGTCTAAAAGGTGAACAGCAGGAGAGCTAGATCATTAATATTTCACAGTAATGATTCTTCTAAGTCATTTTCAGTTTTATTAAAGTCTTCTCATTTATTGGATTCTAAAATATAAACCAAGTAAACAGTATTCATCAATATGAGGCTTTTAAAATATAAATGGGTGTTTTAAGGTTTCCTTTAGCAATTTGGTATTTGATATAGCTGAGTTGAGAACCTGGTTCTAGAGGCCACTTACAGTTCAGATCACTGTAGAAAATAGACTTCGTGTTTTTATTATAGGTATTAAAATACATAAATGTAAAGTTATACAACTTTTTGTCCATCGTCTGTCTCACTAGCCATTTCCACACTTCCGCATTTGCACTTACTGGATCTGATGGTGGCATTCATGTTCTTAAAACACCTTTAAAAATAAGCATAAACACAGCATAAAGCATTCAAGATTAACAGTAGTATGTCCAAGATGGGCATAATTGGGAACTGTTGCTTGAACTGTCTTTTGAAGTTGGTAGCATTAGTTTGCTTTGGCAAATTTTGAGCATATTTTATGAATTGAAAATAAATGGTGGGGTATAGTTTTGTTGTTGTTGTTTGTGGTAAATAACAAGTCAGTTTCTGATTTGGCAAGGATTACTCAGATTAGAAACTGCAAGAAGGGATATTTAAAGTGAATTTTGGTTTGGTCTCATCAGAAATGTAATTTGTGATTCTAGAATTTATCTAGGGGAAAAACGAATATATGAGACATTTAAAAAACTTAACATTTTGGAGGTGAGGAATTATGCTTGAAGGGTTGTCCTGTTTTCTTGCCGGGGAAAAATGTAACTTGATGATAAATAAAAGATAGATTAGACACAGGAATGGGATTTGAATATATGATTTGGATTTCTGACTACCTTTTCTGTAGCAAGGACTTTAAAAACAAAGATCAGATCCTACTTTGAAGAAAAGATAAGCTGATTAGTTGATTCACTGGGCAATCTGTGTTTTTATAGACTTAAATGCTGGATATGTCTGTAAAATTATTCAATATATGGAGAGATTTCTCAAAAAATGTTCTGCTTCCTTCTTGGATCCCATCTGAGGAAGTTACCAAGTAATAGGCCAGTAAGGCTTATTTTTCATCTAGATTGTAAACCAAAATTAGCAAATTTAAATAAGTCCTTCAAGAATTTCAGTTACTTATCTTCTGTTTGCTGTCTGAATGTGATGATACCACAAATAGTTTTAGCCAGTGGCACAACCGGATTTCAGATTATGCTCCCTAAATTGCTTTCCTGGGTTCAGAAAAAGTATGGATTTCTTCCTCAAAGAATTGAAAATATGAAATCCATTATTTTAGAGAAAGAAAATAATTGTTTTTAGAGATTAGTGATTCGCTAGAATGTGTCATG